CTACATTAACCACCCTAGTTCGAACTCAGGTGGCAGTGTAGACATACCCTTTGAGCTTAAATCAAAGTCATCTGTGGTATCCAGGATCCACCTCTTCTGTTTTTATTCTTTTCCCTCTCTCTAAAATGACTGATGATGACAACGATACTTCTTTTGTACAGTTGCATTTCCTTTTGTCGGGTGACCCACCGCAATCAGCTTCATCAGGTGAGCAAAGTCCCGACCAGGAAATCCATACTGACTTAGTTAGTGGTCTAGCTGGGTGGCCCAGTTTTCTTGGGATGAAGCCTTCTTTCTCCAAAGAGAATAAACTACGACTAGATTGTGGGTAACAATGGCAGCTGCATTTTTCAGGAAGCTGCTACTTCCTGTGTAAAACAGAAAGAATATACGTTGTGGTTTCTTTTACCAAACATGGTACATCTGAAATCACAACTAACTTGACACCTGTTTTTAGAATCACGACGCACAGCAACTAATTCACACCCCAAAGTTTGTGACTGCAGTTGGCCACTACAAATATGCAAGTAACAATATTAATACTTGAATTTCATCTAAGGATAAAATTATCCTCAACACCTTCATTTCTTCTCCTACTGCCTCCCACTTACAGATTCGAGGGGGAGGAGAAGTAATGCTTAGCAATAGTTTGCTTTCCTTTTGACACTAACACTAGACATAGCCCAATGAATCAAAGGGATTAGATTTTAACTTTTTTTTTAAAAGGATTCATTTTAATTTTAAAATTATTCTGGTAAAAGCCATTCATTTTGCCCTTTTTTCTTCAACGCACTCAGATGTATTTCCCTATAGGATTTTATGTATTTATTTATTTATTTTACCGCAACCTGTTAGCTGGTAGTTAAAGATAGTGATCTTTTGCTTCCTGTTGAAATCATAAATTAAAAGCACAATATCTATCAGCCATACAGAGTACAAACATTGGATGATAGTCTCTACGACTGAGTGAGGCCTGAATTTTTGGTACCTTTTGGTAAGTAGCATTTTTCTTTGGAATTGTTTTTATGCAGGTTAATTTCCTGAATTGTTAACACCCTGCTTTTGGTGGAAGAGTGGCTTATAGAGCAGCACTTAGGCAGCTTTCATTTCTTCTCTTTAACATAATAAATACAGAAACGTGTACTTTGTATTGCTCTATTTCTATACTTTCCCTGACTTTATTATGCAACATCTTAAACATGACATTAAACATAGGGTCCTGTGGCCACCACCTAGCTGTGGCATGGCCATTACCAGTGCATTCTGCTGAGCTCTGGAGCCCTACTTGTTTTCCACTATTTCCTTCCTTACTCTTCCCATCATTTGGTAATTAACTCGGACTTGCTGAGGTTCCTTCCCTCTGCCGTACCAATGTGTAACCCCACCCCAAGGACACTGCTTCTGTTCAAGTTTCTCACCTCTGCTCTCTCTCCAGATGGATCATCCCTGGTAAATGTTGATGGAATTTTGGTCTCGTCTCTGAACATAAGAATGACTATATTGAGTCAGACCAAAGGCCCATCTAGCCCCGTATTTTGTCTTCGGACAGTGGCCAATGCCAGGTGCCCCAGAGGGAGTGAACAAAACAGGTGATCATCAAGTGATCCATCCTCCGTCACTCATTCCCAGCATCTGACAAAACATAGGCTAGGAACCACATTCCTGCCCATCCTGGCTAATAGCCATTGCTGGACCTATCCTCCATGAATGGATCTAGTTCTTTTTTGAATCCTGTTATAGTCTTGTAATAGAAATGTAGCCGTGTTAGCCTAGTCTAGCTGAAACAAAAAACAGGAAGTGGGTCTGGCCCACAAAAGTTCATCACCTAATAAACCATCTCGTTAGTCTTTAAAGTGCTACATAGTCCTGTTTTTTGTTATAGTCTTGGCTTTTACAACATCCCTAGGCAAGGTGTTCCATAGGTTGACTGTATGTTGTGTGAAGAGGTACTTCCTTTTGTTTTAATCCTGCTACCTATTCATTTCATTTTGTGCCCCCTACTTCTTGTATTATGGGAAGAAGTAAACAACTCTTTTTTATCCATTTTCTCCACATCAGTCATGATTTTGTAGACCTCTGTCATATCCCCCCTTAGCTGTCCTTTTTCCCAAGCTGAAATGGCCAGTCTTCTTAATCTCTCCTAATACAGCAGCCGTTCCATACCCCTAATAATTTTGTTGCATTTGTTGAACTTTTTCCAGTATCAAGGTATCTTTTCTGAGATGAGGGGACCACATCTGCACACAATGGTACAGAAATTACTCATGGATGTTCCGCTCTGGCCTGCCCACTTCTCTTTCTCTCTTTCTCTCTTTCTCTCTGTCTCTTTCTCTCTGGGAAATAGTCCCTGATGAGACTATCCTACTGGCTGGTGACATAGACTGTAAGGCAAGGTGGTGATTCAAGTAATTTGAAACTGGTCTGGACAAAACAAATAGGGAATAGACCATATGGAATAATCCTTCCCAGCCCATAGAGGGGATGGATGGGTTGGGACCTAATGGGGCATCTCCATCTCTAACATCTCTGGTTGTATGAGATGAGGAGATGAACGCCTGATTTAGAAAAATCTTTTTGTCAGCCTCCAGCTCCTGCCCCGTCAGAGCTGACAGGTGAGAGTTTGCAGCAGAAATAGCTTAGACACATGCTGTGTAGCTCCTGGGTGCTTGCATCAAAAATATCTCAGGGTGGAGGAGGTGGGGGGCTGGCTCTGAGTAACAGAGACAAATTATATTCAGTTTCCTCTGCCTCCTTGGATCGTTGCTTCAAATGCAAAAATGAAATGACCACAGTTGGCATGCCCCAAACAGCCCATGGGTGAGCCTTGGGGTGCCAGCAGGCATTTCCGGACTATGACCCCCACTGCAAGCAGGAGACTGCAGCCTGCATGCCACCAGCCTGCTGTCATTTTGGTGCCAATCCTTGGCAAGAACAGACCCTGCCCCCCTCGTCCTCCCCCTTAGGGACCCGGCCCCCTCACCTAGCCCCTCCCCCAGAGTTTTAGGGTGCTCCTCGTCCTCCCCCTTAGGGACCCGGCCCCCTCACCTAGCCCCTCCCCCAGAGTTTTGGGGCGCCCCTCGTCCTCCCCCTTAGGGACCCGGCCCCCTCACCTAGCCCCTCCCCCAGAGTTTTAGGGTGCTCCTCGTCCTCCCCCTTAGGGACCCGGCCCCCTCACCTAGCCCCTCCCCCAGAGTTTTAGGGTGCTCCTCGTCCTCCCCCTTAGGGACCCGGCCCCCTCACCTAGCCCCTCCCCCAGAGTTTTAGGGTGCTCCTCGTCCTCCCCCTTAGGGACCCGGCCCCCTCACCTAGCCCCTCCCCCAGAGTTTTGGGGCGCCCCTCGTCCTCCCCCTTAGGGACCCGGCCCCCTCACCTAGCCCCTCCCCCAGAGTTTTAGGGTGCTCCTCGTCCTCCCCCTTAGGGACCCGGCCCCCTCACCTAGCCCCTCCCCCAGAGTTTTAGGGTGCTCCTCGTCCTCCCCCTTAGGGACCCGGCCCCCTCACCTAGCCCCTCCCCCAGAGTTTTAGGGTGCTCCTCGTCCTCCCCCTTAGGGACCCGGCCCCCTCACCTAGCCCCTCCCCCAGAGTTTTGGGGCGCCCCTCGTCCTCCCCCTTAGGGACCCGGCCCCCTCACCTAGCCCCTCCCCCAGAGTTTTAGGGTGCTCCTCGTCCTCCCCCTTAGGGACCCGGCCCCCTCACCTAGCCCCTCCCCCAGAGTTTTAGGGTGCTCCTCGTCCTCCCCCTTAGGGACCCGGCCCCCTCACCTAGCCCCTCCCCCAGAGTTTTAGGGTGCTCCTCGTCCTCCCCCTTAGGGACCCGGCCCCCTCACCTAGCCCCTCCCCCAGAGTTTTGGGGCGCCCCTCGTCCTCCCCCTTAGGGACCCGGCCCCCTCACCTAGCCCCTCCCCCAGAGTTTTGGGGCGCCCCTCGTCCTTCCCCTTAGGGACCCGGCACCCTCACCTAGCCCCTCCCCCAGAGTTTTAGGGTGCTCCTCGTCCTCCCCCTTAGGGACCCGGCCCCCTCACCTAGCCCCTCCCCCAGAGTTTTAGGGTGCTCCTCGTCCTCCCCCTTAGGGACCCGGCCCCCTCACCTAGCCCCTCCCCCAGAGTTTTAGGGTGCTCCTCGTCCTCCCCCTTAGGGACCCGGCCCCCTCACCTAGCCCCTCCCCCAGAGTTTTGGGGCGCCCCTCGTCCTCCCCCTTAGGGACCCGGCCCCCTCACCTAGCCCCTCCCCCAGAGTTTTGGGGCGCCCCTCGTCCTTCCCCTTAGGGACCCGGCACCCTCACCTAGCCCCTCCCCCAGAGTTTTAGGGTGCTCCTCGTCCTCCCCCTTAGGGACCCGGCCCCCTCACCTAGCCCCTCCCCCAGAGTTTTAGGGTGCTCCTCGTCCTCCCCCTTAGGGACCCGGCCCCCTCACCTAGCCCCTCCCCCAGAGTTTTAGGGTGCTCCTCGTCCTCCCCCTTAGGGACCCGGCCCCCTCACCTAGCCCCTCCCCCAGAGTTTTGGGGCGCCCCTCGTCCTCCCCCTTAGGGACCCGGCCCCCTCACCTAGCCCCTCCCCCAGAATTTTGGGGCACCCCTCGTTCTCCCCCTTAGGGACCCGGCACCCTCACTTTGCCCCTCCCCAGGATTTTGGGGAGTCCCCCAGCCCCTTCCGCATAGGGCTCTGGGGATCCCTTTGGGGACTCGGCCATCCCCACCTAAGCCCTCCCCCAGAGTTCTGGGGAGCCCTTTATTCTTCCCCTCAGGGACTCTGGAGTCCCTACCCAACCCCTTCCGCATAGGGCTCTGGGGATCCCCACCTGATCCTGTTAGGGACTCAGGCATCCCCACTCCACCCCTCCCTCGGGGTTCTGGGATCTTCTCCTGTCCCCTCTTAAAGACTGAGGAACCACCCCTGCGTCCCCCTCAAAGTCCTGGACATCCCATCCTGCCCACTTAGGTCCCACAGCCCCAACTGCATCAGCTGTTCCCCTGTGGCAACAACCTCCTCTCTGCTTCTCCCAGAATCCTGTGCACTAACTGGTACCCATGCAGGAGGAGGAAGTTGTCTCGGTCTCTGACACCACCAATTTCAGCCTCAGCACGACTGTCTCCACCATGTGTCCAATTAACCGGACTTTCACTAACCGTTACCTGTCGGCTGTGTACCTCATCGTGTGCCTGCTGGGACTGCTGGCGAATGGGCTGGGCCTGTGGAATCTGTGTGCCGGGTCCCGGAGGAGCAGCTGGAGCACCCTCAGTGTGCTGGTGTGCAACCTGGGGGTGGCAGACCTACTCTATGTGATCACGTTGCCCTTCCTGGTGACCTATTATCTCCAGGGGGGCGTGTGGCTCTTTGGGAAAGGCTGCTGCAGGCTGACACGGGCCCTCTTCCACCTCAATCTCTATGCCAGCATTGGCTTCCTGACCTGCATCAGCGTCCACCGCTACCTGGGCATCGTGCACCCACTGAAGATGCTAGGTAGGTGCCAGACCCTGGGCCCCTCCTTACAGCTCAGTGCCTTGGTCTGGGGATGGGTCATCATCCAGGTATCTCCTGATTTTTTCTTCAGCAAAACAGATACCTCTGGTACACGGTGTCATGATACAACAGGTCATGAGAACCTGGACACCTATTTGCCCTACATCCTGGCTGTAACCATGACGGGCTTTGTCGTCCCCTTCCTCATAATCATTGGGTGCTACTGCCACGTGGTGGTGGTCCTCTGGAGGAATGAAAATGTGGACCCAAACCTCAAGAGGAGGAGCATCAAGCTGGTGGTGCTGGTGATGGTCCTGTTCTCTGTCTGCTTCCTCCCATACCATGTCTTCAGGAACCTTAATTTGCTGTCCCGAAGCTGGCAACTCCAGGGCTTCTGCACCCAGGCCACAAAAAACATCTATGTCTTCTATCAGGTGACTCGGGGCCTGGCTAGCTTCAATAGTGCCCTGAACCCTCTACTGTACCTAATGACCAGCGAGGACTGTGTATCACGTATAAGGACTCTTGGTCAAAGGGCTGGCCAGTCTCTGGGGTCTCTCTGGGTGAGGAGAGCCCAGCGCCAATCACATCCAAAGAAAATGAGCGTGAGGCTCCATGAAGAATTTGAAGAGGTATCTGATGAACTCTGAATTGGTTGGCTGAGGAAATAAAAGCATAGTCGGAATAGCTAGAGGTAACTTACTGGTGTGTATTCCCTGCCCCCACCTGTCTGTTTTGCCTTTTTAGAGTGCAAGAACATTGGGGCAGGAGCTAGCCCAATGTGGGGGTTACTAAAAACTATTACTAAAAAAATGGGTACCAGCATTACAGGGCTTGGGCCAAGCTGTCAAGCCCATTTTTGTACCATATAAAATATTCACACATGTGTGAATTATACACTGAAATGTTTGTAACTTTTCCCCCAAAACAGTGGGTAAAACATTGTTAAAGTTCAACTTTCATACTAGCCCATCAAGCTAACAACTCCCCTATGGCTGTGTCTAGACTGGCAAGTTTTTCCACAAAAGCAGCTGCTTTTGCGGAAAAACTTGCCAGCTGTCTACACTGGCGGCTTGAATTTCTGCAAGAACATTGACGATCTCATGTAAGAAATCAGTGCTTCTTGCAGAAATACTATGCTGCTCCCGTTCGGGCAAAAGTCCTTTTGCGCAAAAGCTTTTGCACAAAAGGGCCAGTGTAGACAGCTCAGATTTGTTTTGCGCAAAAAAGCCCCGATCGCGAAAAAAGCCCCAATCGCGAAAATGAAGCTTCAGCAGGCACAGCCAAGGGGAAGGGTACATGTCCCCCAGCTGGAGCAAGTCCAGGTCCAGCTGGAGCATCTGCCCCCTGCGCTCCCCAGTCAGAGTGAGGAATGCAGCAAATTGCACTTTTCCCTTGCTCTCTGATGAAGGGGAACAGCCAGTAATGTTCCCATACAAATCGTGGGGGGTGGGGAGCTTCAGAGTCCCATCCCCCCCTTAAAGGGTCCCTGGGGCATGAGAGGCTTGGGGCTGAGGCAGTCCCGGATTAAGGAGGAGACCACCAGAGTCACTCACTTTAACTGGTGATTCTTCCTTTTTTCTGTATGGTTCTCTGAGAAGCAATCCTATTCCAGGCACATCCTATTTTCCTGACACAACCAAACCCTGACCTTGCTTTAAATTATGATAAGAGGAAGCTGTATACCGAATTTGGTGGTCCTAGCTTTTCTGTTTAGGAGGAATTCCTGAATAGACAGAGAGATACATAGACTCACAGACAAGTTCTCTCAAATATATAGTAGATTTCAGCTATATTATGGGTTAAATAAGCTTTTGTGTGCTAGTCTGGGAACCTAACCACAATTTACAACATTTTTAATGGGAAAATGCATTCCAAATTCCAAACAGCCAACTTACAAACAAACTTTTGGAACACAACTTGTTTGTGTAAGTTGGGGCTTCCTGTATAGTGGAGCATGCTAAGGACACATTTCAAAATCTCTAGGCATGCAACTGCATTTTACAGTTACTCTTGTACACCTAGACCTAAAAGTACATATGCAGTTGCATGCCTAATTTGAGCATGTGTGTGATACCTAATTTAGGTATCATTCCTATTCGTTACCATAGGTATGATACCTAAAAATGATCCATTAAATGTGCAAGTGGTGATTTGCAATAGCAATTGCCACCCGAGCTTGTGCTATCATCATAACTGCAACACAACATTTTTCTGGAAATGTTGACCTTATCATATTTGAAAATGTGGCAGAGATTAAAAAATTAAAGTAGACATACAAATTTGTATGCACAATAAGAGTACATTTACATGCCCAAACTAGTGCACAATCTTAATAATTGTGGGTGTGTCTAAACTACATGGCTCCGTCGACGGAGCCATGTAGATTAGTCAGGACGGCAAAGGGAAATGAAGCGGCGATTTAAATAATCGCCGCTTCATTTAAATAAAAATGGCCGCTGCGCTGTGCCAATCAGCTGATTGTCGGCTCAGCGTGGTAGTCTAGACGGGGGTCTGCCGACCCCAGAACGCTTTGTCAGCAGATCCTTTATGCCTCGTGAACGTGAACAAGGCATAAAAGATCTGCTGACAAAGTGTTCTGGGGTCGGCAGATCCCTGTCTAGACTACCACGCTAAGCCAACAATCAGCTGATCGGCACAGCGCGGCAGTCATTTTGATTTAAATGAAGCGGCAATTATTTAAATCGGCGCTTCATTTGCCTTTTTCATGAAAACTAATCTACATGGCTGCGTCGACGGAGCCACATAGTTTAGACGTACCCTGTATGTTTGTAAATTAGTCCCACATTTTGTTGGTACCATCCATCACATGCTTAAACTTGATAAAGACCTGTCCTGCTATTGCATGAATAGGTAGGCATTAAAAGTAACATGCTGCTGAGAGTAAGGCCTTGTCTACACAAACCCCTCCCTCTTCGATCTAGCGTATGCAACTTCAGCTATGCAAATAGCATACCTGAAGTCGAGATTTATCGCGTTATCTTCTGTACAGTAAGGCCAGTGGGGGCTGCTCTCCCATCAACTCTGGTGGAGTATCGGAGTCAATAGGAGAGCGCTCAGAAAACAATTTATCACGTCTAAGCAGACACAATAAATCGATCGCTGCAGCATCAATCCACTGCATAGTAAAGACAAGCCCTTAGGAAGAGAAGATATAAGCTCACTGCAGTAAAATGCAAGCAGGAAAAGGCTGATGATCTGGTAGCAAAGATTGTACTTTCATTGTCTCCAAAGTGGATAGATTGTTATTGCTGGAACCAGGTGAACTGTGCATAATGCAGAAGTTATAGCCACAAACTGGTATTTTATCATCTTCTTCCTCTGCCTTTTCTAGTTCAGACAGCTTGAATATTTCAGCAATTGTCAAAACATTAAATGACATTCAGCAGTAGGAGGGTTTTTTTTCTGATGGGAGCTGTAAACAATAACAATGATCCAGTTTTGTGCAGCTGCTGAAGTGTGATGCAAACTTTGCTATTTGAAAAAATGCCGGATTTTTATCACATTTAGCTGCTGCAGGGTCCAGACCCTTGTTTGATATACACGAAAGGAACAATGGCTCTTTGCATGTGGGGTTAATACATCATGTTAAAGAGCAAATAAATACTTAGTGCTTCCAATGAGTTGTTTGGTACCTTTAAAACTTACAGGAACAAAAGCCAGATGGCCAGAAGTGACAGGGTTCAGCTGTGGGCTTGGCACTGAATGCAGGAGCTGCTGCTTATCCAGCTACCTGGCAAGACCAAAAGTGGCAAGACTCCAGCATGGAAAGGGGGAGCAATGATACTCTTTCTGGTGGATGGACTAGGCACGATCCCAGAAGATGCTTAGCACTCTGGCCCTAATCCAGCAAAGCATTTAAGCACATGCTATATTTTAAGACTGTAAGCAGTCCCATTGAAGGCAAACATTATATTTGGATCTGTGAACTTGCAATGTCAGAGGCAAAGCCTAGGGGACCTGCCCTGGACTGGCCATTTGTCAGCTGCAGAGAGCAGAGATACACATTTTCACGGCACCACTGTACCTCACTAATGCTGATTTCACAGGATCAGAATAAGGACCCAACAACGCCTTGGCCTAGAGCTCTCAGTTGGCATAACTCTCCAGCACAGCTTCAGATCCTAGATTCAAAGGCAATCCAGCTGGAAGGGACCCTCTGTGTCAACTTATCCAGACACTTGTATCAGCCAAAGAGGCCCCAGTGCTATCCTTTCCAGACACGTCTCATCTCGGCTTGAAGATGCATTCCAGAATAATGCTTGCTTTTGTGCAGCTGTGTCACCCCCAGCCACACTCCTGGTTTTTTTTTTTTTTTTCCTGTCATCAATTTCCACACCCCAGCTGTCTCCTGGTTTGCAGCACTGCGTGGTAACAGGTTAATATTGGTAGATTGTGTTCTTCTGAGAAAGAGAGAGATGTGGAGGAGGTAACAGTGAACCTCTGCCCCCATCCCCTTGAAAAGCCTCGGAAAAGCCCCTGCATATGATGCCCTTTTCCAGTAGCAGTGGCACGGAAACATTTTTAAAAGTGGGGGTGCTGGGCCCCCTTACCCCTGTCTTCCCCACCCCCAGCTGAGACTGACAGCAAACCCCAGCACATGGGCCAGCAGACAAGACCCCAGGTGCTGGGTTCTTGGCTGCCATCTCATGCACCAGGACCTCAGCATGTGGGGCAGACAGCAGAGACCCTGGTGCAGGGCTGGCAGACAAAAACCCAGTGAACAGAGTGGCAGCAGGGATCCCAGGAGCTAGGCTGGGAGTCTGAGGGTACTTCAGCACCTCACCACACACACACCTCGGCTATGTCTAGACTGGCTAGTTTTTCCGCAAAAGCAGCCGCTTTTCCGGAAAAACTTGCCAGCTGTCTACACTGGCCGGTTGAATTTCCGCCAAAAATCAGTGCTTTTTGCGGAAATACTATGCTGCTCCTGTTCGGGCAAAAGTCCTTTTGTGCAAAAGGGCCAGTGTAGACAGCTGAGATTTGTTTTCCGCAAAAAAGCCCCAATCGCGAAAATGGCGATCGGGGCTTTTTTGCGGAAAAGTGCGTTTAGATTGGCATGGACACTTTTCTGCAAAAAGTGCTTTTGCGGAAAAGCATCCGTGCCATCTAGATGCTCTGTTCCGAAAATTCTTTTAACGGAAAACTTTTCCGTTAAAAGCATTTCTGGAAAATCATGCCAGTCTAGACGTAGCCCTCTAGTTCCTGCGCCTATAAGCAAAGCCCAGTGATAATTCCTCTGTCATTTTTAATGAATGATTAACTGGCCTGAGTTCAAAGTCATCATTTATAACACAATCTCCTCAGCTATGGAGACATGAAGCCCACTCACTCTCTGCCACTGGTTGTTATTGGGTTACTGGAAGAATGGGAAAGGTTTGACACACACATATCGGATCGGTCATTAGCCTTTAGTGAACTTAGCATCCAAATTCCCTCTTGGGGTTTGGCAGGCCGTTCTCATAGGATTTGCATAGCGTTAGTTAGTGTTCTGAAATTGATTGTATTTGCAGGGCCACAGCGAGACTTCTCCATCCCACTTCGTTCCAGTGTGTGATTAACACCAATTCTCATGCACCATGTAAGTATCTTTACAATACAAGACCCTGATCTGCGTGTCTCAGAGCCCAGGTCAACTGACTTAGTCCCACTTGGGCTCGAGCCCAGTTCTGAAACCCTGCTGGGGGGAGGGTCTCAGAGCCCAGGCTCCAGCCTGTGCCTGGAAGTCTACACTGGTACCTTTAGCCAAGCGGCTTGAGACCCAGGAGCCTGAATCAGCTGATCTGGGTTCTGAGACCTGCAGCTGCAGGATTTTCTTTGCAGTGAAGACATACACAAAAGACCTCCATAGACTTCAACGGCTTTTGGATCAAGTCCTTAAAAAGGGGTTAAGTGGCATATTGGGCCAAGTGCTGGCTTTGATCATGAGTCAATTTCACCCCCCCAGAGTGTGTGATTCTGATGCGGCTCGTGCATATTTATGCAAGGGGGTTGAAATTCACCACTGTGCAGAAGGCCCACATAGAC